GACCCTACAATAATACATACCGCTCATTATATCGCACTCTGCTGTGATATAATGAGCTGTCACGGTCACGTAGCTTTCCGTTGCCCTGGAGGTCCACCCATTTGTAGTAGTTAGGGCAACAGAAGATGCCTGGGACAGTTCAGCCATAACTTAAATCTTCTCCTGCTCATACATGCTTGGAACGATCTTGCCACTAAAGTGGACGCGAACGGGATATCATAGTTTAAACCCCTTGTTTTGCACAACGGAATACGGCCTCCAGTCTGCAGCTAAACACCCCAATAGCTTTTGTAATAGCTTTAGCTCGGTCGGACTGGGCAGCAAAGGGCTGCTTAAATACCGCAAACTCCTCCGCTCCTCCACTTGGACCGCTAGCGCTGGCCATAACTATAGCTTGACCCACCACGCGCACCATACACATACTTTTTTTTCTTCTTCTTTTTCGAATCTTCGGATCACGTGCGTACCAAACCGTGGAGTGGGATCGGTTCGGATTACGGATCAACCATGATCCGTTGCACCACTAATAAAAATGATACATTTCATTTGTCAACTGTAAATCAAAAGAGTACATGTGAAAACTATCATTTCATTAGCAAAGAGACCATAAATTACAATCTTTCATTCTGTTAAACTTAAATGCTGCGATGATTTTATGACACCTTAAAAAGCGAGATCACAAATTATAAAACCTTTTCAAGTAGCTTCTTTTGAATAAACCAGGTGCAGTTATAGTAAACTGTGGCATATGAAAATACATATTCACATATTCAAACAGGTCCTTTTCCTGATCTGCTTCACATTTGTTTGGAAATGTGATTATGAAATGAATATATCTCATGACAATATTTACTTTTAATTTCCAGTATTATTTAGTTCAAAAGCAAGTAGTAAATGGTGTACAGTTCAAAACTGTAACAGACTAAAACATTCATGGACTGCTTTCCTTAAGGATAAAAAAGGCCTGTAGTAGATCAATCAGTTACACAAGTTTCTGATTACCTTGTCCCTCACATCTTCAATAAACTTCAACAAATTACCAATTCTCCTAACCTCTCGACATTTGTCACATAAAAACAAACAAAAACAAAAAGACAGGTTCCACAAATATCATAATTAACTTACTTTCCTTTTTCCTCTGGAATAAAAGTTACTTCCTTTGTACTGTCACAACATTCTCAGCCCACATAGATAAAACGCCAAAGTTTATTAACTTACACTGCTTGGTTTTCTTTATCCCCTGAAAGCAATTTTTCCTTTGCTGAGTCCTGAGGGACTGTGTTGGGACTCCTCTTCATTTCTAAACTTTTTACCCAAGTATAAGCAGACGAACCACCAAGAACCATCATGTTACTGGTCCACCACAGCAGGGTTTTAGTGGAAGAGTTGTACACTACTGCAATGACGGTCTGTGCACAGGCCTTTGCAGTCCCTGAGACATTATGCGTGAGCGGGCTTGTATATTTGATCTGGAGCCCTGTAACATAGCCTATGGCGAAACCAAACACTCCTCCGAGAGTCATCATTCCCCAAAAGCTGATGTCAGTGAGACGGCTGAACTTGATGAGCTGGCTCAACTCTCCGAACACAAGGATGAGAGGGAGGAAGAGGACGCAGGCGTTAATGTTGTTATAGTAGGACAGTTTCCAGATGTTTCCATCAAGGGCAGGCATTACCTTCTTAGTATAGATGGCATTGAGAGAGACGCAGGCGCTAGCCAGCACCCCAAAAAATATGCCTGTCCAGGAGAGGGACCCTGTGATGCCTTCCTGGTCCACACCAAGCCAGAAACCACCTGGAAAGCACAACATACAATCAAATATTTTAAACACTTAAATATCTAGTATTTCATTTTTAATCTACACCCATTCAGTGTAACCCTATCCTGTCACTGTAACACTGCGTGTGGCAAAAAAACCCCAGCTCAAAACAATGTGACAAAGGATGGAAACTGCACAGTCTTAGGGTGATATGAAGTGTTGCAATGTTTATGAATGTTAACATACACGAGGTATGAGTGTATGCATGTGATCAGTGTGAATTGGGAGGGTGAGCAGAGCAGAGAAGAGCCAATGAGAGGTTCTGGTAAGGCTGTTTCATGGTGCCTTAAGTCCAGCCTGTTCAGGTGTGCTACATAAACTAGGTCAACTCCACCCACCAGTTTCCTGGAAGTGATTAGAACGAGAAAGCCAACATGGAAAGTGAGCCCTGTGGCTGTCACATGTGGTACAGCTCTGCACACGCACGCAGTTCGTGTCAGGAAACAGGGACACACCAGGGAGTTTATTTCCCACTTCCAGGTTATTGTAGAAACTGAGTTCCTGTGACAACCTGACCTACTTCTAAGGTGCATGAAAAAATATATATAAAAATGAGAAAAGAGTGTAATCTGACAACGTGAAAATTCCATGACAATGCCCATTTCTAGGCTATCCCAGTATGGAAACATTTTGAATAGTATAGTATTAACACTATAACTTTTCCCTCCCTAAAATTTGATGCAGTTCTCTAAAATCGAGTATTATCCAGGCTGTATTTACAGCACAGCAAACTAAAAACTTCTATTGGCCTGCAAACCTTCTGAGTGTTATATTTCATATTTTCTTCGTTTCATACAGTTCTGTGCAAAAGTCTTAAACAACCCTTCATTTCTTCACATTTTGCAAGCGAAATGTAAGTAGGTGCAGAAAATTTGCAAAGATTTGCACATGGGTCACCATGGCAGGCCTGAACTGTCAAATCATAGTATGGCAGTGAGTTTTAGAGAGGAACGAAAAAAGCTGCCTGTCAGCAGCTAGTGAGTAGTAACAAATGCTTTGTCTTTTGAGATGTGGCGAGGTACGATAGACGTATTCCAGGCTAGCAGTTATCCATGAAATGAAGGTAAAATTTTCAGGTTCTCCACTCACAGCCCCGTCTTCCTGTTTTTACTTTTGTTGCTCCCGCCTCATAAACGTTTGGCCAATATGCAGACTGAAAATTGTCACGTGATTTATAGTAAAGCATTTCGCTTCGAGTTTACAAACTGATTCAGACCAGAGTAAACGAATTACAGCTATTTTAAAAGTGAGATATAAATATATATAGATATAGATATATAGTCAGTATTATTATTATTATTATTATGCAGAACCGAGTGTCCGTTTCCACCACTGTTGGTGTCATTTAGCTTTCTGAAAGGAGAAACTAAGTGCAGACTTATTTACAGCCAGTGACCAATTATCACGTGCAAATCATTATAAGGAACATGTCAGGGTAAACGCACCTAATATGATCCCACAGCACGCCAGAGCCCCGAAAGACGTGGTTTGTTTCAGGATAATGTACGATAACAGCACATTGAAAACTGTGCTCAGAGAGCGGCCGATCGTGTAGAAAGCCACCCCGAGATGTTTCAGGCACAAGTTGTTGAAGGTGATCATGCCGATGAACACGATGGACAGCGGTAGGACCTCCCGGGACAGCTTCACGTCAAACCTGACCGAGGGGAAGTCGATGAGTCGGGGGCACATTTTTGATAGCAGCTGCATGAGCCAGCAAAGTGCCACAGTGACCACACACTGATAAAAAGTGACGAACAACGGCGCGTCCAAGTCTTTGTTGTCCAGCAGGTGATTATTGAGGAACACCATCGTTATCGAGATAAACCAGTATAGCGCAACTACAGCTGCTATTCTCACTGCTCGAAATACGAAAGCCTCTCTGGATTCGTCCCGGTCCATCATTTCAGAACCGCTCAAAGCCATCCTCAAGATGCTGGAGCGCTTCAGCTGTGTCATGTTCATGAGTGCAGATGAAGAAAACGAACCTGAGTAAAAGCTGGGACATTTACATGAGCTAATACGCCGCTCAAGACCAGCAAACTGACTGTATGAAAAAGCCAAAAATGACTGCTGTTTGGTCAGTGCCGTCATCAAAGAGATTTCCGATCTGATCTTTTCAACATAAAAGCCCAATTCAAGCCTGTCAGAAATCGTTTCGTATTCCCATTAAAAATACTTTGCAAACATATTTTATGTTTTACTCTGCTTTAACAGGCTAATTGCTAATCTTTGGCTTCTGTTGTTAAAAAGTGAATACTGTAAATCGTTATTATTGTATTCTCTTCTTTCATTAAGTGAACATTTGCTCTAAGCTTTACGTTTACTTTGAAAGGCTTCAGCTCCAACCGGAAGACTCATTAAGCGCCACAACTTCCTTGTTTGAACGACCTCTATTTAATTTAAAGACATGCCCAGTTTGTCCCTGCCAAACAAACAACTGCCAAAAATCTTTGTACGTACAGG